CGGGTGTTTTTTTTTTTTTTTTTGTCAGTTTTTGGGACGATAAGTTTGACAAAATATATTGTCATATTTGATATGAAAGCAAAAAAAACACCCGACGATGACGATCAGGGCGTGGTGGAGTACATCGACACGGAGGAGGAGGAGACGACGATGGTCGCCATGGAGCCCAAAGACCTCGAAGAGTCCGGCGGGTACTCGAGCACCTACACCCACTGCGAGATCCACCCTAGCATGATCCTCGGCGTGTGCGCCTCGATCATCCCCTTCCCGGACCACAACCAATCCCCGCGAAACACCTACCAGTCGGCCATGGGGAAGCAGGCCATGGGAATCTACGCGAGTAACTACCAGGTGCGCGCACGCACGCGGCGCTGCGTGTGGTCTTTTTGCTGCAGCGGGTGGGGGTCTACTGGCCAGCTTTCTTCCCGTGCTTCCTACTGCGGCATGTTGTTCCTTATGCTGTGGCTTTGCCGCGTTGCATGCAGCATACGCTGGAAATCATGTGAAATGACCGAACCAATATCTTGGCTTCATCCCGACGGCCTTCGACCCTATCGGAGCTACGAACGGATATGTTTGTGGGGTGGACCTTGTTGTCAAACTCGCTGGCCTCCTTCTCGCCACGGCCGCTATCACTGTCCTTTGTAGGCCTTTCGACGCTCGCTGCTTGCTGGCCTTGTACCGCCCACCACAGCAGTAGCTATCCTTGTCCGTTTTAGTCACACAAGTGTCACTTCTCTGGAACCTAACCCCTAACGTCAGTAGGGAAAGGTTTTCGGGAAGTAGACATATGTGTGGGTAGATGGACAAGCGGCTGTGGTCGTTGCAAGGCCAGCAGGGAGCATCGAAAGGATCCAGGCGAAACGGCCAGAAGCTGCTGCAGCGAGGACGATGACGTGATGACGCCCCGAAACCACAAACAAAATACCCTCGCGCACGTGCTCAATCCCGTGTTGATGTCCCGCGTTGCGGTAAGCATGTAAAATGACCGAGAACCATGTCGCTCCGTCCCGGCATGCAAGGTCACTGGTCAAGGCATGTGTTTACAGGAGTACTCCCCCCCCCCACACACACACACAAGAAGGGACGATGGGCCATGGGTGATCGGTCCTGTGGGAACAATGCTCCGTCCTCTCGAGGACGCGCGGTCAGTCGAACCGCTAAGGCATGCAAAACATAAGAGCT